CACCACCATTGTCGCCACCGCAACCATCCTCATCAGCAGCAGCATCTCCATCACCATCACAATCATCATCGGCATCCTCATCATCGCAATCATCCTCATCAGGTGTGCATGACCCCGTAATACAGTCAAGCGGCCGGACGGGCGTCACTCCCAGACCGTGGCTGGTGAAGCCTGACCATCATCACCATCATCAGCGGAAGCATCATCAACATTATCAGCACCACCATCAACGCCATCATTATCCTCGTCATCAGCATCATCTTCAGCAGCATCCTCATCATCATGATCATCATCAGCAGCATCATCATGATTATCATCATCATAGTCATCATCACCGGTAGCATCATTACCATCATCACCACCATCATCATCATCATCATCATCAGCATCACCATCACCATCACAACCATCATCATCAACACCACCATCGTCATCACCACCTCCGCCACCACCATCGTCGCCACCGCCACCACACTCATCATCATCAGCAACAGCAGCATCATCACCTTGACCATCATCATCATCATCATCATCATCATCATCATCATCATCATCATCATCATCATCATCATCATCATCATCATCGGCATCCTCGTCATCAAGATAATCCTCATCAGGTGTGTGTGACCTCGTAATGCAGAAAGGCGGCTGAAAGGGCTCCGCTCCCAGACCGTCTGTTGAAGCCTGATCATTAGCACCATTATTATCAGTAGCAGCATCCTCACCATAATCATCATATTCATCGCCACCATCAACGCAATCCTCATCAGCAGCAGCATCATCCTCGTCATCATCATCACCATCATAATGGTCGTTATCATCATCGTCGCGTCGTCGTCGTCATCATCATCAAGATCATCATCATCATCATCATGATCAGTATCATCATCCTCATCATCAGCAGCAGCAGCATCATCATCATCATCAGCATCATCAGTATCACAGTTAATATCACCCTGTCACCACCACCACCAGCATCATCATCCTCACAATCATCACCATCACCAAAAAGAGCAGCATCATCCTGCCCCGCCCCGGGCGCTGCCAAGGCGGGCGAGCATCGGGCCGCAGGTAGCCAGCAGGGAGTTGAGGGCGCCCACCAGGGTGCCTCGCGGCGACGGGCGCGATGGGGAGGCCCTTCTCGCCGTCGCAGCCCTCGCCCTCGCCGTCGCAGTCCCCCTGTGTCGTCGTCGCTCCTTGTCGCCGCCTCCTCCGTCTCTGTCGTCGTCGTGACGGTCGCCCTCGTCGTCCTCGGGGCCCTCGTCGTCCTCGTCGTGGTCGTCGCTATCGCTGTCCTCGTCATCGGCGTCCGTCTCCTCCTCCTCCTCCTCCTCCTCCTCCTCCTCCTCCTCCTCCTCCTCGTCCTCCTCCTCGTCTCCACCTCCTCCTCATCTCCTCCTCTCGCGTCGTCGTCGTTGTCGCCATCCTCGTCCTCGTCGTCGTCGTCGTCCTCCTCCTCGTCGTCGTCGTCCTCGTCTTCGTCGTCGTCCTCGTCGTCGTCGTCGTCGCCGCCGCCGTCGTCGTCGTCGCCGTCTCCGTGATCGTCGCCGCCACCGCCGTCACCCACGCCTCCGCCGCCGCCGTCGATGCTGTCGTCGTGGTATTCCTCCTGCTCCCCCCCTCCCCATCCACCCTTCGTCCGTAGGTATATGTGGCGATCTCCGATGCAGTCAGGCAGCCCCCGAACCCTGGGGAGGAGGGAGGGAGGGAGAGAGGAGGGGGAGCATAGCTTCCTGCAGGAAGGAAGCCCAGAGGTTCTCAAAACCGTCAGGCTTGAGGCTCCAGCAGCCCAGAGACGACGAGGTCAGGCCGCCGATTCAGAGCGGGGCCTCTGGGAGGGTCTTCAGGAGGCACGTCTTCGCGGGGATGACCAGCACAGCCGAAGCATTGCCACGAGGAACCTCTAAGTCGGGCCTGTCCCCCTACAGGGGGATTTTCGACGAAAAATGCAAAATAATCCAAAAAAACAAAAAAATAGTCTGGGGACCATTTTTTGATTTTCTTTTGACCATTTGGGGGCATGTTTGGGGTATTCGTTATTTTTCGTCGAAAACTCCCCTGTAGGGGGACACGCCCGACTTAGAGGAACCCGAAACATGGAGAGAAGAAACAAATCGAACCCTCTGCTGCGCCTAACGATCTGCGACAAGCGCCCCGACCCGCGGAGACCTCGCGAAGATCCCAAGACCACTGCCAGGAAGGGGCCGCTCCCTGCGTGGGCAACCACCTGCGAGAAGCCTACCCCTGCAGCTCCCTGAAAATCACGGGGCCCAGGGACACACGACTAGATACGCACAGATCCCAGGATTCCCCGTATCTTCCCACATGTTCTGGCTTCTTGTCTTCCCCCCACTTCCCATAGTTTCCCACATCTTCCTGGGAATCGGCGGATGACTGTGTCTGTGTGTCTTGTTCCCCTCCTGAGAAAAGCTGGCCGGGGGTCGGAACCGGAAGGCTGTCTGCAGCCAAGTGCCAAGCGAGCCCCACGGCGGGGGCGCCCAGGGCAGCTTTTAACACATAAGATTTTTAGAAATATGGAGTTTCAACCCATGATTAATGCATGAATAGATTTATGCATGAACTCATCGTTGTTGTTAGTGCTAAAACCCTGCATCTTTAATACATGATCCGCACGCGGAGCATGCATTAAAAACGGCACTGTCCGACGCCCCACCTCCCATCGCAGCCGCAGGGGCAGGGCTCGCAGGTGGTCGCGGGCTGCGGCGCGGGCCTGGAGCCGAGCCGCCCTGCAGGAGCGAGCCGGGCGCCCCGCCGGCGCTGAGCGCAGACCCCCTCGGGCCATTAAAAAGAGTTAGGACCGAGGCTCTGTTCGCAATGCCCCGCTTCCGGGAACCCACACAAGGCCTCGGGACCGTCAGAAAACGACCCGGGACTAAAAGCCGGCCACTGGGGATGGATCGAGAGCTCTGGACGTCGACGTTATAAAAAATCCTGGTGTCGGGGGTCTGGGCCCCAGGCGGAGGAGGAGGAGGAGGAGGAGAAGGAGGAGGAGGGAGGAGGAGGAGGAGGAGGAGGAGGAGGAGGAGGAGGAGGAGGAGGAGGAGGAGGAGGAGGAGGAGGAGGAGGAGGAGGAGGAGGAGGAGAGGAGGAGGAAGAGAAGGAGGAGAAGGAGGAGGAGAAGGGACGAGGAGGAGGGGAGAGGAGGAGGAGGCGGAGGAGGAAAGAAATGGGGCCCCAGGCCGGCCACCAGGCAGTTCCCAAACTGGGGCCAGCGGAGGGCAGAAAAGAGGGATCGGCCCCACGTGGCTCCCAAACCTGGGTCAGCCGGAGGGGATTGGCGAACCCCTGTGAGCGCTGACCCCCGCTGCGGTGAGCCCCGGCGGCTGCGGCGGGAGGCGACGGCCACAGGGTCGACGCCCAAGCGGGAGCGTTCCATGGCATCAGCGGCGACTGCCCTCGGCCTCGGAGCGGGGCCGCCCTCGTGCTGGGCCACTGCCTACGCTACGCCTTGGCCGACGGCGCTGACGAGGGCCCCACGGAGCGCCTGATCAGCTGCAGCCGATGCGGTGCTGACATTGACGGAGGCATAGGGCCCAAGCTGCACGCTGAGTGCCTGGGTTGCCCACCCAAGGGGCCCAAGGGCGAGGGCGGTCGAGACCAGCTCAGCCTATGGGAGGGGGCAGCACCCAGGAGGACGCAGAGGTAAGAAGAAGGCCATCAGGACCCTGCGCCAGCTGGACACCACAAGGGAGCTGAGGGGCGACATCCTGGCCTGGGACGGCGTGCTGCCCGAGGAGGCGGCGCCCGCAGCGGCCGTCGGACCCGCTGGCCGCGAGGGGGACGGGGGAGGGACGGCCACCTCCTGCGCGTCGAGCTCGTCACCAGCGGGTGGGCTGCGGGCGGCTGCCGCCCCTGTGCGCCGTCCAGCGGCGGCCGCGGCGCCCAGCGGGTCGGCCGTGGCCGCGATCAGCCGCCCAGAGGCCATGCAGGCATACGGCCTGGACGAGGTCGGCCTGGCCGACTGGGCGGACGACGTGGTGGTGGCGGAGGAGCGCAGGCGGAGGCGCCTCGTGGGGCCCCCTGAGCCGACAGCTTAGGGGTGGAGAGCGTGCGGCGGCGGTTGGCCGCCTGTGCGAGGACTTCGCGCTGCCCGCCTGTCTAGGCGGCAGCAGCTTCCAGCGGGCCTCCGCAGAACCGAAAGGTGTCCAGCGAGGTGTGTGCTGACGCGCTCTGTCCGCCCCCCAGGTGCGTGGCCATGTGGGGCTCCGAGGCTCTAGCCCGTTCCCCGCTGGGCCCCCATGGGTGGGTTGGGCCTTGGTGGCCTGGGGTGCGGCCCAAGGTGGCCCGCCCTCCTCTCTGTATCTTTTTCCTCTGGCTTAACGCCCCGTAGCTTCAGCTTCAGCTTCGGCGGCTGCGGCGGGCCCAGTGACCAGCGTTGTGGCTTGGGCCGTCTTCGAGGATGTCTCGGGCGACTGGCTACGCCACGGATATATATATATATATATATAGATGTATGAGTGGTATTATCGATATTATGAAACTTTATTAGTATTATAATCGTGATTGTTAGTGTTCACGCAGACACCCTTCGACGATGGTTGCACGTCCTTCCGGGAGGGCGGCGGTGTAGAAAATCGCTGGTTCCCAGTGGTGCTTTCTACACCGCCACCCTCCGCTGAGGCACAGGCTCTATGCATTGGAGGGCGTCTGTGTACATACTTCCGTGGCGGGCTGGGGCCTCCGAGGTCCGAAGCCCGTGGGGCGACAGACCTCGCGGGGAGGCCTCCTGGGACTTCGAGGTCGCCGCGCGGTCTGCCGCCGCACGGCGTCGGGGCCCCCAAGGAATCTCCCCGGACATCCCATGGCCTGGTGTTCTGCGTGCGGGGTCCCTGAAGTCCCGACCCTGGCCCCGGGTCAACTTTTGCTCTCCGAGCCAATCTTGACGGTCCTGGGGCTCCGGAAAGGGCCAAAGCACTGTCCATCGTGATCTGTGTGCACGACGCCAGCATGTTTAAGCTGTTCAGGCTCAGACTGGCGTT